ATCACAAGCATTCCTATACACCAATAACAGACTGAAAGAGAGCCAAATCAAGAACAAACTGCCATTCACAATTGCTACAAAGAGAGTAAAATACCTAGGAATACAACTAACAAAGAACATAAAGGACCTCTTGAAGGAGAACTACAAACCACTGCTCAACGAAATAAGACAGGACACAGATGGAGAAACATTCCATGTTCATGGTTAGGAAGAAACAATATTGTGAAAATGGCCATACTGCCCAAAGTAATTTACAGATTCAATGCTATCCCCATCAAGCTACCAATGACCTTCTTCACAGAACTGGAAAAAACCACCCCAAACTTCATATGGAACCAAAAGAGAGCTCGCATAGACAAGTCAATTCTAAGCAAAAAGAACAAAGCGGGAGGCATCACACTACCGGACTTCAAACTATACTACAAGGCTACAGTAATCAAAACAGCATGGTACTGGTACCAAAACAGAGATCTAGACCAATGGAACAGAACAGAGGCCTTGGAGGCAACACAACACATCTACAACCATCCGATCTTTGACACACCTCACAAAAACAAGCAATGGGGAAAGGATTCCCTGTTTAATAAATGGTGTTGGGAAAACTGGCTAGCCATGTGCAGAAAGCAGAAACTGGATCCCTTCCTGACACCTTACACTAAAATTAACTCCAGATGGATTAAAGACTTAAACATAAGACCTAACACCATAAAAACTCTAGAAGAAAATCTAGGCAAAACCATTCAGGACATAGGCATACACAAGGACTTCATGACCAAAACACCAAAAGTATTGGCAACAAAAGCCAAGATAGACAAATGGGACCCAATCAAACTCCATAGCTTCTGCACAGCAAAAGAAATAGTCATTAGAGTGAATGTGCAACCAACAGAATGGGAAAAAATTTTTGCAATCTACCCATCTGACAAAGGGCTGATATCCAGAATTTACAAACAACTAAAACAGATTTACAAAAAAGAAAACCAGCCCATTCAAAAGTGGGCAAAGAATATGAACAGACACTTTACAAAAGAAGACATACATGAGGCCAACAAACATATGAAAAAATGCTCACCATCACTGGTCATTAGAGAAATGCAAATCAAAACCACACTGAGATACCATCTCATGCCAGTTAGAATGGCGATCATTAAAAAATCTGGAGACAACAGATGCTGGAGAAGATGTGGAGAAATAGGAACACTTTTACACTGTTGGTGGGAGTGTAAATTAGTTCAACTATTGTGGAAGACAGTGTGGCGATTCCTCAAGGACCTAGAAATAGGAATTCCATTTGACCCAGCAATCCCGTTACTGGGTATATATCCAAAGGAGTATAAATCGTTCTACTGTAAGGACACATGCACATGAATGTTCATTGTAGCACTCTTTACAATAGCAAAGACCTGGAACCAACCCAAATGCCCATCGATGATAGACTTGACAGGGAAAATGTGGCAGATATACACCATGGAATACTATGCAGCCATCAAAAACGATGAATTCGTGTCCTTTGAAGGGACATGGATGAATCTGGAAACCATCATTCTCAGCAAACTGACACAAGAACAGAAAATCAAACACCACATGTTTTCACTCATAGGTGGGTGTTGAACAATGAGAACATATGGACACAGGGAGGGGAACATCACACACTGGGGTCTTTCGGGGGGAAATAGCTGAGGGACAGTGGAGCGTGAGGAGTTGGGGAGAGATACCATGGGGAGAAATGCCAGATATAGGTGATGTGGAGGAAGGCAGCAAATCACACTGCCACATGTGTACCTATGCAACAATCTTGCATGTTCTACACATGTACCCCAAAACCTAAAATGCAATTTAAAAAAAAAAAGAAAAAAAATTAAATTCCTAATTATAGGATTAATTATAATAGTATCTCTAAATTGATGATCAACATCAATGGTGCCCTTCAATCAGGTCTAGAATCCTACTACGTTATTGCAGAGAACTTTCCCTTTCTTTACAAAACTGATTTCAAACATTCTCCATGATTGTCCAATTGTGAAATCAACCAAATTTCCCACTGCTCACACAGGACATGTCATTTTTTGCAGGAAAAAAACTAAAGCTATCTATCATACGGAAGCAACTTAAAGTCTCAATTACTAAATCTACAAACTTTTTTCATCTACATCCATCTTTTTTTTTTTTGAGACGGAGTTTCGCTCTTGTTGCCCAGGCTGGAGTGCAATGGCACGATCTCGGCTCACCGCAACCTCCGCCTCCTGGGTTCAGGCAATTCTCCTGCCTCAGCCTCCTGAGTAGCTGGGATTACAGGCACGAGCCACCATGCCCAGCTGATTTTTTGTATTTTTAGTAGAGACGGGGTTTCACTATGTTGACCAGGATGGTCTCGATCTCTTGACCTCGTGATCCACCCGCCTCGGCCTCCCAAAGTGCTGGGATTACAGGCGATCTACATCCATCTTAATCCATCTTCTTCATCTTCCCTTCCGTTCCTTCTCCCATCTAAGGCCCATTTTAAATCCTATCCCCTCTCATCTTTCCCAAAAACCTGATTATTCTTTATCATCACTGATGTTATCTGTAATTCAAAATACTCTTGGTGTTTCAATCACTTTCTTAGGCTTATCTCATGTAAATCTTGCTTACTACAGTCACTAATTTCAGAAAAGATTAAATTAGTTCTTGATACTTTATAAAGAGAAACATGGGGAAAATGATTTGTGAAACACAAGTCTGATCATGTTACCTCTCTGTTAAAGCTCACTTTTTTTTTTTTTTTTTTTTTTGAGATGGAGTTTCACTCTTGTTGCCCAGGCTAGGGTGCAATGGCATGATCTCAGATCGCCGCAACCTCTACCTCCTGGGTTCAAGCGATTCTCCTGCCTTAGCCTCCTGAGTAGCTGAAATTATAAGAATGAGCCACCACGCCTGCCTAATTTTGTATTTTTAGTAGAGATGGAGTTTCTCCATGTTGGTCAGGCTGGTCTCGAACTCCTGACCTCAGGTGATCAGCCCACTTTGGTCTCCTATAGTGCTGAGATTACAGGTGTGAGCTGCCGCACCCGGTCTATAAGCTCACTTCTTACAGTTGTTTGAATACTCTATGATTCCATCAACAAGGCCTCTGCACATGCTGTCTTTGATCTGCAATGTTCTTCCTCACTTTATCTAAAACAGTAATTAATAGTATAGACTCCCCAGCCGGGCGCCTAGGTTCAAATCCCTTTTCTAACACTTACTACCTGTGTGACTTCAGTTGATTCATTTGTAAAATGAGGAGAACAACAGTGTTTACCTTACAGGGTTATGGAAGATAAATGAGTTGTTGTGTAAAATGCTTAGAAGAGCAACTGGCACACACTAAATGCTCTAAATGTTTGCTAAGTAAATAAATAAACCTCTGTGTACTCTATCATAACAAAAGCCAAGATTCTAGAGCCAGATTGCTTGTGCATAAAGTTTGGCTCTAAGATTTATGCTGGACACTATGAGACCTTAAACATGTTACTTAACTGCTCATTTTTCTTATTTGAAAATAGAATAACAAAGCCTACATCATAGGTCAATTATGAGGATTATGAGTTAATACTGGAAGGGCTAAGAATATCACTAAGAATACAGTAAATGCTAATAAATAACTATTACTTTCGAGTTATCAACTCAAGTATCACTTCTTCATGAAAGCCTTTTCTAAACCTGTCAGCCTATGCAGTGGTCTGTTATTTGCAACCACAACACTATGTCCCTTTGCTTCAGCCTTTACCTCAGTTTCTAATTACAAACTTGTAAGTAATTTATTTATTTAGTGTCTTTTGTATTTCTTTGAGACACAGTCTTGCTCTGTCACACCAGCTGGAGAGCAGTGGCACCATCTCAGCTCACTGCAACCTCCGCCTCCGAGGTTCCAGTGATACTCCTGCCTCAGCCTCCCGAGTAGCTGGGACTACTGGTGCCTGTCACCATACTCGGCTAAATTTTGTATTTTTGTAGAGGCAGGGTTTCATCATGTTGGCCACACTGGTCTTTTTTTTTTTTTTTTCAGATGGAGTCTCACTCTGTTGCCTAGGCTGATGTGCAGTGGCACGATCTTGGCTCGCTGCAACCTTTACCTCCTGGCTTCAAGCGATTCTCCTACCTCAGCCTCCTCAGCAGCTGAGACTACAGGCGTGTGCCACCATTTCTGGCTAATTTTTGTATTTTTACTAGAGGCAGAGTTTCACCATGTCGGCCAGGCTGGTCTTGAACTCCTAACCTCAAATGATCCACCCACTTCAGCCTCCCAAAGTGCTGTGATTACAGGTGTGAGCCACTGTGCCTGGCCTTTTTTGTTTTTTTGGGGGGACATTGTCTCATTTTGTTGCACAGGCTGGAGTGCAATGGTGTGATCCTGGCTCACTGCAACCTCTGCCACTTGAATAGCTGCAAAAAGAGGCATGGAAGCCTCCTGTGTTTGGCTGTATCTACAAAATCAGGAACTCTGGCATCAAGTTTATACCCCCTATAGCCCACAGTATGGTGCAGTTGCTATGTGCCAAATGAAAATCTAACAAAATCAAGAATAAAATAGAAAAATATTAAAAATAAAATTTAAAAAAGAAAATCTAACAAGGGTTTTCTTCATGTGATTGGGAATGGGTGAGATGAAGACACTATGAACTGGGCACACTGCCTTTTTATGGTGCTAAGAGTACAAAGACAGTTCATGACTCAGGAGCACACACATACTCACAAACACCTGCCCCTCTGTAATGCTCAGAATTTTTGATAAAAATTATTCTGAAAGAAAGACTTTAATCCTACAGTCCATCTAATTTCTCCGTAATAAATAATTACAAAATAACAACTGAGAGCATATCTAATATGTAAAGTCAACATAAACTTTAGATTGGTCATCTATTGGTGTTTTCAGTGTTTATACGCACTCTACCTTAAACATTCTAATATAGGATTCATTGAATAGCTTTTTATTCATCATGAAAGGAAGCTCTATAGTAAATCAACATGACTCCTCGTACCTGGTGTGTAAGTAAAACGTTGAGACTGGCTTTTTTTCCTCTTGCCATTGCAAAGATAAAAGTGCACCTGCACTGCAGCTGTAACTGCTGGGTTATGATATGGAGGAACTTCAAGGACAATGTGAGCCTAAGGATGGAAAGCAAGATTATGTTACACTCAGAACTAAAAATGAAATGCACCTGCTAAACACATCACAACTCATGAGTCTTAACTACAAGGCTCTCCCATAATAGTTAATTATGCACATCAGCTAGTCATATAAGTCATCTGGAGATTTACTATAGGGACACTTCAGTCTTGAAAGAGATAAGTCCTTTAATTAATAAAAGAGAAACTGCTTTTTACTCACCCAATTGGGTTTCTGGCTATAGCAGAAGTAAAAAGTCTTACATACTATGTAGAGAGATATTTTGCTCTACTGAATATTACATGTTACCATGTATCTTAACAGTAATTCATTCTAGTTTTTAATTAGGTTTAATGATTCCCGATCTGCATTATAGTTTAGATCTCTTATCTTAAATTTTACATTCAAAATGTTCTAAACTAGAGCCAGGTGCAGTAGCTCACACCTGTAATCCCAGCACTTTGTGGGAGGCTGAGGCCGGCAGATCACTTGAGATCAGGAGTTTGAGACCAGCCTGGCCAACATGTTGAAACCCCATCCCAACTAAAAATACAAAAATTAGCCAGGCATGGTCACACGCCTATAATCCCAGCTACTCAGGAGTCTGAGGCAGAAGAATCACTTGAACCCGGGAGGCAGAGGCTGCAGTGGGCAAAGATTGCATCACTAAACTCTAGCCTGAGCAACAGAGCTAGGCTCCATCTAAAAAAAAAATAAATGGCCAGGCGCGGTGGCTCACACCTGTAATCCCAGCACTTTGGGAGGCCGAGGCAGGTGGATCACGAGGTCAGGAGATCGAGGCCATCCTGGCCAACATGGTGAAAACCCGTCTCTATATTAAAAAAAAAAAAAAAAAATTAGGCCAGGCGCGGTGGCTCACGCCTATAACCCCAGCACTTTGGGAGGTTGAGGTGGGCGGATCACAAGGTCAAGAGATCGAGACCATCCTGACCAACACGGTGAAACCCCGTCTCTACTAAAAATACAAAAATTAGCTGGGTGTGGTGGCACACGCCTGTAGTCCCTGCTATTCGGGAGGCTGAGGCAGGAGAATTGCTTGAACCCGGGAGGTGGAGGTTGCAGTGAGCCGAGATTGTGTCACTGCACTCCAGTCTGGCACCTGGTGATGGAACGAGACTGTCTCAAAAAAAAAAATAAATAAAATTTAAAAAAAATAATTAATTAATTAAACAAAACAACCCAAAATGTTTTAAACTGGTATTAAATAAAATGTATATCTATATCAAAAATAATTTTACAAAACCAAGGTGAAAATGTTAGTCCCAAACCAAATGCAATTCTCAACCTAATTGCTCCAGATCTTTGGAAAGCACTGGTATTCCCTATCCCAGAAAATACTCTGTCTCTATTCCAAACAACTCCAAAGCTTTCATGTAGAATCCTAGAAGTTTTAACTAAGTAGCTGAGGAGTAAGAAATAGTGTGTTAAGTACACAATTCTCTAAGGACTTGTCTTGTACTATCTTTTGTCCAGTACATATGTTCTTTCTCTCTTTTATTTCTCTGTGAAGGCCTATACATATGTTCTTTATTGAATCTGTTTTTATTCCTGAGTTCAGAGAAATTATAATTTCATTAAGAACCTTCTGATGATGATCTTTCTAGTTTCTCCTTCCCTATACACAATAAGGAGAAAAAAGGCACTAACTGGTTATCTTTTCTAAACTTTAATTTAATTTACTTTAATACTACGTAAGTATCTTACTTCCAAACCTCTAGAAATTTTACTTTTTTAGACAAGGTCTCACTCTGTCACCCAGACAGAGTGTAGTGGTATGATCACAGCTCATTGCAGCCTTGACCTCCCAGGCTCAGGTGATCCTCCCACCTCAGCCTTCCAAGTAGCTGGGACTACAGGCACACGTCACTACGCATGGCTAATTTTTTTGTATTTTTTTGTAGAGACAGAATTTTATCATATTGCTCAGGCTTGTCTTAAACTCCCGGGCTCAAATGATCCTCCTGCCTCAGTCTCCCAAAGTGTTGGGATTATAGGCATGAGCCCCTGTGCCCAGGCTAACTTTACTTTTTTATTAATCAATATACAAAAGACTCATCCATACCATAAAGCAACATTATTCAATTTTCTATTCAGTGTCTTAAATATTTCTTAAAAATTAAGGTAAATTTCTTACCCCTTGACATTTTTCCCTGATTATTTTCCCTTCTACCTCCCACTGAGGTCGTCCATCTATTGAAAGAAAGAGTTTACAGTTAAAAGCAATTTATATCAGAAAGCATACAGACAAAATCTAACGCATGTAGTACCACAAATTTATTAGCAAAGCGGATCTTTTTTTCACTGACTTCCATTATGAAAATAAAATGTGAAATGTATACAAACAAGGAAAAAATAAGGAGAAAGATCTTGGGCTGCCCAGGTTAGCAGATCCCACAGAGTTTATTCTAACCATCTACCCAAGTGATGTTTAAAAGCCCTCTGAGAGCACCCCCATCAAGTGGTGGCCAACTTTTGCTTGTGTATCTAAAATGACAGGAAACTCACTTCCTCACCAGGTAACTCACTCCATCGTGGATAACAATTGCTGCTAGAAAGCTCCTCATGCTAAATGAAATGTCTCTTTACGTATCCAACAACTGGTCTAAATACTATTCCTTGCAGTCACGAAATAAAATCTTGATTGCTTGTCTGTGAGATCATATTTCAGATGTTGAAAAGCAGTTATGTCTGCTTGTGTCTCCTCTCCCACTGGCTAGCATCCTCAGCTCTGTGCCTATCCCTTACACAATATTTTAGACTTCATGGTCTCTGTGTAAACATGCTCCTCCAAATTCACCAGGACCAGGACTTAACAGCCTATGTGAGAAATGACCAAGCATGGTACAGAATGACTGAGGCTCTCACCACCATACAAGGAATTGCTGTGTCTGTTAATGAAAGCTTTCTTAGGGTGCAGGGGGAAGCTTTCTTGGGAGCACCATATGCTGACCCTCACACTAAGTATGTGACCAACTGTCTATACATTTCCTACTGCCATGTTCCCACACTGTGCACTTATGCAGCTGAGTTGTTTTTTTTTATCTCCCAACACTTTGGAACATTACTTACTCCCAGCAGGGAGATTTCATTTTGTTGGATTACTTGACTTGTCAAAATAGTTTTTAGATATTAATGGTCCTAAAAAATGTTTCCTAAGCTTTCCAGATTTTTGTCATCTGAAGATTTGGCCAACACATTTTCTGTCTCTTTATCCCAAGTGAACTACTCACTTGGAGACAGCCTTGTCTGCTACTAAAACTCTCTGACTGATATACAATTATTCCAGTGCATTCTTTTTGTATCACAGGCATTCATCCAGTGACTACGCCACACACTGCTTGCATCACTTCTTCATCTGGTCTGTGAAGTTATCAAGAGAGATTTCATCAAACACTTTCCAGGTTGTAACCATCATTTTCCAGTCCAGCAACTAGACAATGGCTACTTCTGGTGCACAAGAGATACTACAGACAAGTACTACACCTACTTAGATTTATAGCTCAGTTTAGCAATCATGTGCTGGATCCTTATGTGTCAGACACTTTGTGTTACTGAGATAACTGAGACCGGGTACCCTGCTTTCAGCCTGAGGATGAAAGGCAAATGCAAACAGTTCATTATAATAAAATGTGATGTGTACAATAATTAATAAAGGTGCACTCTAGAATAACCAAGAACACAGGAGTGGGGTCTTTCTAATCTTGGGGGAGGGCAGTGAGACAAGGAAGCCTTCCTGGAAGAGCTCTTGAACTGAGACTTAACATGAGATAGAACTCATAATGTGGGGAAAGGGTAATTATAGGCAGAAGAGACAGCATGAACAAAGGCAAGATGACAAGAACCCCTAAGATAAAGAGATCTATAAGCAGCTATGATATTGTATAAAGTACGAGGCAAGGAGCAGTAAGAAAGAGGGTTGGAAAGACTGGCAGCAGATTATGGCCTGAATGCCATAATAAGGAGCCTAGAAAATGAAGGGGATCACTGAAGGTGTTTTTAAAATGGAAGTTACATGTTTACAACTGCAATCTCCTCTAAAGCCAGTAACTACCACCATTTAACATGATTTGATTTCAATCAAAAGCTCTTAAATGTGAAGCTCCGGGTCAAACAAACAAAATTCAATAATACTTATTAATTGTACTCAGGCACAGAAGAAGTTTTACAGTGGAAAGGAAGGGACAGTTCTGAGACACCATCTCTTCCTCATGCTCCTTATTCACCTGAAATGTGACACCTACAGAAAGATATTCCTTGATGACTTGATATAAACAGTTCACCATTCAGTTCTATATAGCGGTTTTGTCTGGAATAATCTTGTTCCTTTATTTGTTTATAGGTGCTTCCCTACCAGAATGTAAGCTCAATCAGAGCAGGCAACCTGAAGGTTGTATTCAACATTATATCACTAATGCCTAGACTACTGTCTATATCACATAGCACTGTTGCATAAATAACTGATGAATTAATAAATTATGAAACAGAACTGATGTTTTTTGAAGACAGACAGGGTATGGGTCAGGGTTGAAGGTAAATGAATTTTAAAGGAGAAGAAGACAGACAGCCACATAGTTTCCAGCTCAAAGAGAAGATGCTGATATTATTATTATTATTATTTTGAGATGGAGTTCCACTCTTGTTTCCCAGGCTAGAGTACAGTGGTGCCATCTCGGCTCACTGCAACCTCTGCCTCCTGGGTTCAAGCAATCTCCTGCCTCAGCCTCCCGAGTAGCTGGGATTACAGGCACCTGCCACCACACTCAGCTAAGTTTTTGTATTTTTAGCAGAGACGGGGTTTTATCATGTTGGCCAGGCTGGTCTTGAACTCCTGACCTCAGATGATCCACCTGCCTAAACCTCCCAAAGTGCTGGGATTAAAGGTGTGAGCCACTCCACCAAACCCTGATGTATTATTAATCAAGTTAAGAAATTCAGAGAGACAAACTAGTTTGTGAAGTCAAATTTGTTTTCATATTTTAAGTATCAGTGAGACATTTATAAACCAATATCCAGTGGGTACTTTAACATTCAGGTTAAAGTTTAAGAGAAACATGTTGCTACAGAGAGGTATTTGGGAGCTAATAAAATTTCTCAAAAAGTAGGAAGATAATCAAAAGAAAAATGAATATAAAACCTTAGAAAACATCTATATTTAAGAGCCAGAAAAACTCGCATAAAAAGACGAACAGTAATAAAGATGTGTGAGAACCAGGTAAGAACAATTACACAAAGAGAAGAGGGAAAAGTGTTAAGAAGGAGAGTAAGTAGCTAGCTGTAAAATTTTCAGGCGGTTATGACTTCAATGAAGTGAAAGACAAAAGATTAAAGAGCAGCAGGTAAGGAAACTAAAGCAAATGACACTACTTTTTTTTGAGAGGGTGGATGCTAAACGGTAGAGAAATGAAACAAAAGCTAAAGAGGATGACAGAGTTAGGAGAAAGGGAATGTTTAGGATGAGAAGACATAAACATAATTAAACTCAGAGAAGGAGAATCCAGTAGAAAAAGAGAAATTATAAAAGAGAGGTGATGGAGGCACTATATAGCCTTTAAGACTTAAGTTTTAAAAAGATAAAATAGTGAAAACAGATTAAAATTTTAATTAAAAAAAACCATAGTCAGGTGTGATGGCTCATGCCTGTAATCCCAATACTTTGGGAGGCCGAGGTAGGCGAAGTGCCTGAGCTCAGGAGTTCGAGCCCAGCCTGGGCAACACGGTGAAACCCCATCTCTACTAAAATACAAAAAAAATTAGCCTGGCGTGGCAGTGTGTGCCTATAGTCCCAGCTACTTGGGAGGCTGAGGCAGGAGAAAGAACCTGGGAGGCAGAAGCTGCAGTGAGCCAAGACTGCACCACTGCACTCCAACCTGGATGACAGAGCGAGACTTCGTCTCAAAAAGAAAAAGAAAAAACATAATAAACCAAAGAAACTGAAAAGTTAAATATAGAAATTGGTGAAACAGAAAGGCATACTGAAAGGTTTGATAAAGCCAAGAACTATGGAAAGACTGGTTAAATATCCAGAAATGGCATAAATAAATAGCAGGAATAAAAAAAGTGGGGGGATATAACTCCAGATGCAAAAAGAGAATACTGTGAGCTCATTAATGTCCATAAATTTGAAAATGTAGGAGAAAGGAATAAAGTCCTAGAAAAATATATATGACCAAGCCAGGCACAGTGGCTCACGCCTATAATCCAAGCTCTTTTGGAGGCCGACGCGGGTGGATCACTGGAGATCAGGAGTTTGAGACCAGCCTGGCCAATATGGTGAAACCTTGTCTCTACTAAAAAAAAACAAAAACAAAAACAAAAACAAAAAAAAAAAAAACAAAAATTAGCCAGGTGTGGTGGCAGGCACCTGTAATCCCAGCTACTTGGAAGACTGAGGCAGGGGAATCATTTGAACCCAGGAGGCAGAGGTTGCAGTGAGCTAAGATTGCACCATTGCACTCCAGCCTGGGCAACAAAAGCAAAACTCTGTCTCAAAAAAAAAAAAAAAAAAAAACTATATATATATAGTTTTTAAAGTTTTTTAAACTATATATATATATAGTTTTTCTATATTTAACTCTATATATATATATGATCAAACTCAAGAAGAAACATATTGACTAGTCCTACAACCACAAATAGAAAGATATCACAAGTGAGTTAATGGCTCACCACAAAAACAGTCCCCTCTCCTGAAGGTTCCGGAGGTAAGCTCTGTCACATGCACAAAAGAACATGAAAGTACCCAACACAGACACTGTTAAAGAATGAAAAAAGATGAGGCAGTTTCCCTATTTCATTCTGATATCCAGAATATATAAAGAATTCCTACAAGTCACTAAAAATATTTAAAATGATCCAATGGAGAAAATAGGCAAAGACACAAATAGTTACTGCACAGAGAGAGAGACTGTCTCAAAAAAAAAAAAAAAAAAAAAAGTGTTTTATGGCCAGCACGTAGATCCTAGCACTTTGGGAGGCTGAGGTGGGCAGATCACTGGAGGTCGGGAGTTCAACAACAGCCTAGCCAACATGGCGAAATCTCATCTCTACCAAAAATACAAAAATTAGCCAGGTGTGGTGGCGCGTGCCTGTAATACCAACTATTTGGGAGGCTGAGGCAGGAGAATAGCTTTAACCTGGGAGGTAGATGTTGCAGTGAGCCAAGATTGTGCCACTGCACTCCAGCCAAGGCAACAGAGCAAGATTCTCTAAAAAAAAAAAAAAGTATTTCATAAGTTTTAAATATTTTTTAAACCGAGAGGAAATAATTGATGGAAAAGTGTTTTAAATATGCACAAGGGATAAAATCAAACACCCTCATAACATTAAATTCTTCTACTTTAAAAATAATTTTGGTATAATTCACATACTATAAAATCTATCCTTTTAAAGTATAAAACTCAGAGGTTTTGGGGATATTCACAGAGTAATACAACCATCACTGCAATCTAATTCCAGAACATTTCCATCACCCCAAAAGGAAACCCAGCTCCCATCAACAGTCACTCACCATTGACACCTTCCTCCAACCAACCACTAATCTACTTTTTATCTCTGAATTGCTTATACAGTAATGGACATTTTATGTAAATGGAATCATACACTATGTGTCCTTTTGTGCTGGCTTCCTTCGCTTGGCCTATTTTCAGAGTTTATCCATGTGTAGCATGTAGGAGTACTTCATTAATGTTTTTTGTTTTGTTATTTTTTTTTTGGAGATGGAGTTTTGCTCGTTGCCCAGGCTGGAGTGCAATGACACCATCTCGGCTCACTGCAACCTCCGCTTCCTAGGTTCAAGCGATTCTCCTGTTTCAGCCTCCTGAGTAGCTGGGATTACAAGCAACCACCACTATGCCGGGCTAATTTTGTATTTTTTACTAGAGACGGGGTTTCTCCATGTTGGTCAGGCTGGTCTCAAACTACAGACCTCAGGTGATCCACCCGCCTCAGCCTCCCAAAGTGCTGGGATTACAGGCGTGAGCCACTGTGCCCGGCCTTCATTAATTTTTATGACCAAATAATATTCCAGTGTATGGATATATCACATTTTGTTTATCCATTCATCATTTGTTGAGCATTTTTAGGTTGTTTCCATTTTTTGGCAATTGTAAATAAAGTTGCTATAAATATCTATCTCTTAAGTTTATGTATGGACATGTATTTCTAACTCTTTCAAGTATATACCTAGGAGTAGAGTTGCTGGGGGATCTCTACTTTTAAGACATCTTAAATTATTATTATTATTTAGAAACAAGATCTCACTCTGTTCCCCAGGCTGAGGAGTGAAGTCGCACAATCAGAGCTCACTGTAACCCAGGATTTCTGGGCTCAAGTGATACTCCTGCCTCAGCCTCCTGAGTAGCTAGAACTACAAGCATGTGCCACCATGCCCAGTTCCTTAAAGATAATTTAACATTTATATGAAAATTTAATAAATGTTTGGTTTAAAATAAAATCTGGTGCAAAATGATACCTGTAGCTTTATTAAAACTACTTTGTAATTTTTGTTACTGAAAAATCTAAATAATTTATTTTACCCTTTGCCCCTTAGTTTGAAGCCAATCAACTCATATATTATTTACCTTGTCCTTTTTCCAGAAAAATGATTTTGGATTCTGGAAGAAAATTAGATCCAGTCACAATCATTTCATGACCTCCGTTTACAGAACAACTGTTGATACTGTACTTTTCAATATGAGGAAGTTCTTGAGCAGATCGCTGGGCTGTTTTGAATTTTTTTTAAGGTTGAGAAAAAACAAAATATTAGTTAAAAATCTTTCATACATAAATAAACTCAAGCTATAAAAAGAAAATAAAGAGAAGCAAATTTTGGGATTAATTCATTTAGGCTTTTAAAATTCAAGACAATGGTAACAAAACTCACTAAAAGAACTAAGTTGTTTATAAAACAAAATAGATGTATTAGATTTATGTGATTTCTAAGTATATTTATTTATTTTAGACAGGGTCTCACACTGATGCTCCCACCTCAGCCTCCCAAGTAGCTGGGACTACAGGTGCATGCCACCATACCCAGCTAATTTTTTTTTTTTTTTTTTTTTTTAATAGCAACATAGTCTCACTTTGTTGCCAAGCCTGGTCTCAAACTCCTGGCCTCAACCAATCCTCCTGCCTTGACCTCCCAAAGTGCTGGGATTACAGGCGTGAGCCACCACACCCAACCAATCATTTTCTTAGATTACAACTATAAAGAAACTAATAAAAATTAATATCTTCAACACCATGATGACTACAACACATTTACCTCATCTGTTTTTCTCTTTTTTTGCTTGAATGCTTAATATATTTCTTCCATGCAACTATCTCTTAAAATCTGTAAAACTATTATAATTACAAAAAGCATGTAACTCCAAAGATATGTAATTATATTGTGTGCAAAGGAGAGAAGACAAGTTCTGAAGGAACTACTCCTAGACAAACACCAAGTAAGCCTTTCTTTTTAAATTTGTTTTATTTATTTATTTATTTATTTTTGAGATGGAGTCTCGCTCTGTCACCCAGGCTGGAGGGCAATGGTGTCATCTCGGCTCAGTGCAACCTCCACCTCCTGGATTCAAGCGATTTTCCTGCCTCAGCCTCCTGAGTAGCTGGGATTACAGGTGCCTGCCACCACGCCTGGCTAATGCTTTGTATTTTTAGTAGAGACAGGGTTTCACTATGTTGGCCAGGCTGGTCTTGAACTCCTGACCTCGTGATCCACCTACCTCCCAAAGTACTGGGATTACAGATGTGAGCCACCATGCTTGGCCTGTATTTTTATTTTTTTAAGAGACAGAGCCTTGCTCTGTTGCCCAGGTTATTGCCCAGTGGCATGAGCACAACTCACTGCAGCATCAAACTCTTGGGCTCAGCAATCCTCCCACCTCAGCCTCCCAAGTAGCTGGGACCACACGCCATATGCCACTACGCCCAGCCAATTTTTAAAATTTTATTTTTGTAGGGACAGGGTCTCACTTTGTTGCCCAGGCTGTTCTCGAACTCCTGGGCTCAACTGATCCTCCCGCCTTGGCCTCCTAAAGTGCTGGGATTATAGGTGTGAGCCACTGCGCCCTGGTATTTACATTATCAACTTTTATAATCAGTGTTTATGGTGCCACCTTTCTCTGATAATGACCGGTTCCAAGTTGCTACATTTTCTGGAAATCCTTTTTCTGGCTTTTCTTTCTTTTAATTGCTTGAGTTTCAAACTATAAATTATATTTCTTTTTATTATGTAGGTTCTCTAATGGCTGTTTTTGTTTGTTTTCAGAAGGGGTCATGTGCTGTCACCCAGGCTGGAGTACAGTGGCGTGATCACAGCTCTGCAGTCTCAATCTTCTGAGCTCAAGTCATTCTCAGATCTCACCCTCCCCAGGAGCTGGGACTATAAAAATGCATCACCATAACCAACTTAACAATTGATTTTTTTTTTTTTTTTTTTGTAGAGACAGGGTCTTATTATGTTGCCCAGGCCGGTCTCGAACTCCTGGTCTAAAGCAGTCCTCCCAGACATAAGCAATACTCCTGGCTAGGCCTCCCAAAGAGCTGGGATTACAGGTGTGAGTCATGCCTGGCCTCTAATAAATTTTTCTTGCCAAATACCTAGATACCTAGGTTTCTCTCAATTAAAACAAATTTTAAAAGTGTTGGTTATATCTCTTCAACACTTTTATTTGGAAAACAGGTCCACTTTTATTCCAAGTGTGTAGGTGAGAAAACTGGTGGGCTTGAGAATCAGCTGTGTTTTGTTTGGCTAGCAGAGCATTTTAAGGAAATTTAAAATTCACTGCTGTTAGGAAAGCATGCATTCCCAGTTCACAACAGCTATCAATTATTTAATACCTAAACACAAAAATACATAAATTGGGACCCTGGCCTCATTCAAAGAGAGTATTATTATCAGTCCTTTCACAGAAGATGCATATGTGAGCTGGATGTGGTGGCTCACACTTGTAATCCCAGCACTTTGTGGAGGCAGAGGCGGGCAGATCATGAGGTCAGTTCTAGACCAGCCTGATCAACATGGTGAAACCCGGTCTCTACTAAAAATACTAAAATTATCTGGGCGTGGTGGCGTATGCCTGTAATCCCAGCTACTCAGGAGGCCGAGGCAGGAGAATACTTTGAACCCGGGAGGCGGAAGATGCAGTGAGCTGAGATCACACCACTGCACTCTAGTCTGGGTGACAGGGCAAGACTCTGTCTCAAAAAAAAAAAAAAAAAAACACACACAAAAGACAATGCACATACAGCCAGGCGCACTGGCTCACACCTGTAATCTCAGCACTTTGGGAAGGAGAGGCAGGTGGATCAGGTAAGGTCAGGAGTTCAAGACCAGCCTAACCAACATGGTAAAACCCCATCTTTACTAAAAATACAAAAATTAGTTGGATGTGGTGGCACATGTCTGTAATCCCAGCTACTTGGGAGGCTGAGGCAGGAGAATCGCTTGAACCCAGGAGGCGGAGGTTGAAGTAAACTGAGATCACGCCAGTGCACTCTGGCCTAGTCAATAGAATGAGACTTTATCTCAAAAAAAAAAAAAGATAGGTATGTGATTTAGGATCAACTATTTATTACTTGGGATGTACCAAGCACCAACCTAAATCTCAGAAAATACACACGTCTCTACTGTTCTAAATAGGTCACAAAGAAGGGGCCTGAAAACAAACACTGATTACAGGTACTTTCTAAGTAACAGCAAAAGTGTGTTCAGGCTGGGCGTCGTGGCTCACACCTGTAATCTCAATACTTTGGGAGGCCAGGGCTGCTGATCACCTGAGGTCAGGAGTTCAAGACCAGCCTGGCCAACATGGTGAAACCCCATCTCTACTGAAAAATACAAAAATTAGCTGGGTGTGGTGGGTGCCTGTAATCCCAGCTATTCAACAGGCTGAGGCAGGGAGAATTGTTCAAACCCAGGAGGCAGAGGTTGCAGTAAGCCAAGATCGTTGCCACTGCACTTCAGCCTGTTGTCAGAGCAAGACTCCATCTCAAAAAAAAAAAACAAACCAGTGTGTTTAACAGATGGCATAAACATGCCAAAAAACTACTCCTGTGGTAGAAATAATATTTTTGAAGAATATTTTCTAACAGAAGAAAATGCCTGTGATAACATAAGTGAAAACTGCAAAACAAGATATAAAACTATATCAAATAAGCCCAATTAAAAAACGCTGTGTATGTGGGTGTTTACGAAAAAAACATACAAGGCTCACACCTGTAATCCTACCACTTCAGGAGTCTGAGGTGGGAAGATTACTTGAGGTCAGGAGTTCGAGACCAGCGTGACCAACATGATGAAACCCCATCTCTACTAAAAATACAAAAATCAGCTGGGCATGGTGGTGGGCACCTGTAATTCCAGCTACTTGGGAGGTTGAGGCACAAGGATTGCTTAAACCTGGGAGGCAGAGGTTCCAGTAAGCTGAGAATGTGCCACTGCACTCCAGCCTGGATCACAAGACTCCGTCCCTCCCACTCAAAAAAAAGAGGCAGAAAAGGTGAACAGCAACTATCTATGAATAGTAATATTACAACATAATTTAATATTATACTATTCTTAGTACCATTTTGCATTTTCTACATCCTCAATAATCACACATTAAATTAATTAGTTTATTAATTTTTGAGACAAAGTCTCACTCTGATACCCAGGCAGGAGTGCAATGGATCACCTGAGGTCAGGTGGATCAGGTGATCCTTATCTCAGGTGATCCACCCGCCTAGGCCTCCCAAAGTGCTTGGGATTACAGGTTTGAGCCACGGCACCTGGCCAATTTTATTTTCTAAAAAAGAAAAAAATTAAGAATCATTTTAGCATAACCATCTCAAAAACTCAATCTACTCTATGAGCTTATTTACATTACTTTGCCAGTCGGGCATGGTGGCTCACGCCTATAATCCCAGAACTTTGGGGGCCAAGGTGGGCAGATCACTTGAGTCCAGGAGTTCAAGATCAACCTGGGCAACATGGGGAAAAATGCAAAAATTAGCCAGTTGTGGTTGCTTATGCCTGTAGTCCCAGCTACTTGGAAGGCTGAGGTGGGAGGATTGCTTAAGCCTGGGAGGTGGAGGTTGCAGTGAACTGAAATCATGCCACTGCACTCCAGCCTGGGAGACAGAGTGAGACCCTATCTCAAATAAATGAACGAATGAATGAGTAACTTTGCTTTAAAAACAGAGTTATCAGTTGGACACGCAGGCTCACCCCAGTAATACCAACACTTTGGGAGGCCGAGGAGGGCAGACCACCTGAGGTCAGGAGTTAGAGACCAGGCTGACTAACATGGAGAAACCCCATATCTACTAAAAATACAAAAAGCTAGCCAGGCATGGTGGCCCATGCCTATAATCCCAGCTACTCAGGAGGCTGAGGCAGGAGAATCACTTGAACCTGGAAGGTAGAGGTTGTGGTGAGCCAAGATCACTGCACCAAGGCCAGGTGCAGTGGGTCAGGCCTGTAATCTCAGCACTTTGGAAGGCCAAGGTGGGCAGATCATGAGGTCAGGAGTTCGAGACCAGCCTGGCCAATATGGTGAAATCCCTTCTCTACTAAAAATACAAAAATTAGCTGGGTATGGTAGCAAGCACCTGTAATCCCAGCTACTCAGAAGGATGAGGCAGGAGAATCGTTTGACCCCAGGAGGTGGAGGTTGCTGTGAGCCGAGACAGTGCCATTGCACTCCAGCCTGGGTGACAGAGTGAGGCACACTCCAGTCTGGGTGACAGAGTGAGGCTCCGTCTCAACAATAACAACAACAACAACAAAAACAACAAAGAATATAAGCTGGATGCGATGGCTCACACCTGTAATCCCAATCCCAGAACTTTGGGAGGCTGAGGTGGGCAGATCACTTCAGGTCAGACGTTCGAGACCAGGGCGGCCAACACAATGAAACCCAGTCTCTACTAAAAATACAAAAATTAGCCAGGTGTGGTGGCATACCCCTGTAGTCCCAGCTACTTGGGAGGCTGAGGCAGAGAATCGCCTAAACCGTGGAGGTGGAGGTTGCAGTGAGCCAAGATTGCACCATCGCACTCCAGCCTAGGTAACAGAGTTGAGACTCCGTCTTGGAAAAAAACCCAACCCTCTCATCCCAATAAAAGAATATATATGGTTAACAAAAATAAAATAATGTAATATAATCAAAAGAGTACTAAGGAAACCTGTGTTCTAGGCAGCACAGCTCTATCACCAAAAAGCAAATAACCTTGAATGAGTACTAGAGATACTCATGTCTCAGTTTCCTCCTATGCAAATAAAACATGGAATCAGAATATTTTAAATTATATCCTAAAGATCTAAGTACTAGTCTCAATATTTCAAGTCATATTAGCTAACCTGCCCAAGATCCACAGTTCCCCAAGACTGAGTAGACGTCAGGTTCCAGGATCTTTTCTTGTATCTTGCCTTTGTATATGTTAGGAAAAAACATTCACTGTCTCAATCAAATGTGTTGAATAATCTTAACAAAAGCTCTGTTAAGTCTTATTTAGCTAAGGTGTCAGCTTGCAGAGATAAGCGCCTTCTAGCATGAAGGTTGACATTTTAATGAAACAAAGACTACCAAGTGATACTTAAATCATAGCTTCATCATTTGGTCCTCAGATGGCATCAACTCCCCATTCTCATTTACATATAAGGAAACTCTGGTCAAGACAGTGTGTCTATAGTTCACAGAGCTACCTACTAAAACTATCCTGAGAAAGCATTTTCTAATTCCAAGATCGGTGCTCTTCTACCCAAATGCGTTAGCTCATTTCCAGATGAGAAAATCAAACCAGCAACCCAGACCATATACTCCAGTTTACACTTCTGATGCATATATTACATTATAAGCAAAACCAGAAAATAAATTGTAAACAAGATCTTAAAACATCATCACAAGCTCACTTACAGCACTCAACAGGTATAGAAGCTATTTGCAGAGAAAGAACTTTTCCACTGGGCTGTGGGATGTGTACACGAAACACAAGTCGTACTCTAGTATTCTTCCTGCCAATATCAGTTTCTCCTTTTCGAAGTTCTATATCTGAATTGCGGAGTTTCAAAATACCTGCACAGTCAATGCTAAAGAGAAAAATATAAAAATTTGTTTATTGATAATCATGGCTCTAAACAACTACATAGAAATTGTTCATTTGTCAGAAAAAGACTACCCAAAATAAGGTCAAAAAAGAAAGATATGTATGATGGCTATCCTTTGCTAAATTGAAGTTTAGGTATTAAAAATATATTTTTTTTTTTTTTTTTTTTTTGAACGGAGTTTCGCTCTTGTTACCCAGGCTGGAGTGCAATGGCGCGATCTCGGCTCACCGCAACCTCCGCCTCCTGGGTTCAGGCAATTCTCCTGCCTCAGCCTCCTGAGTAGCTGGGATTACAGGCACGCGCCACCATGCCCAGCTAATTTTTTGTATTTTTAGTAGAGACGGGGTTTCACCGTGTTGACCAGGATGGTCTCGATCTCTTGACCTCGTGATCCACCCACCTCGGCCTCCCAAAGTGCTGGGATTACAGGCTTGAGCCACCGCGCCCGGCCTAAAAATATTTTTATATGATAAACGTGCAAAATTAAGTATAGTAGATTGTCTGCAAAGTTAACAATTCCTCTTCATTCCTGTACGTGCATGCCTCTCCTCCTGCCATTAAGAGGTAGAGTATCTATGCCTACTCTCTGCTCTGCTTGAGAGTTGGCCCATGACTTCCTTCGACAAATGAAGTGTGGCCAAATGACGGTATGCAAGTTATAAGCCTAGTACCGAAGAAGGCTCGTAACTTCCACTTTTGCTGTCTTGGAGTCCTGAGTAAGGAGTCCAACTAGCATGGTGGAGAGAAAGGCCGAGACAATCCCTAACCACTCCAGCCACCCTAGACATTTTGGATGTTCAACCCCAGCTGAGCTCCCACTAAATCCAGGTACTTGAGTGACCCCCAGCTGGCACCATGTGAATGGACCAGTTGAGCTCAGTCAACCCAAAGAATCATGCAAAATAATAAAAAGTTATTACTATAAGCCATTAAATTTTCGGAGTGTCAGAACTAGACATCTGAAATAAAGAAAAAAAGACTAATTCTATACATGTAACTAGGTCAGAACAACAAATAATTCATCAATAGCATATTTAAACTTTTATATTGATGTACTTATTAATAAAAACAATCCATCAGGCTAAAATTCTTGAATTTCTACAGTATGCACATACAAGGTTAAGGTTCTGCATTTAAGGTATAATGTTTCATTATCTGCTAACTTTATTACTAAGTATGACACACTACTGTGGCAGGAAACAACAGAAGTTACAAAATATCTTTGTTACTCACATATTGGAAGAATAAAGCAAATGGATAACTACCTCATAGATACTCTACCTCATAAAGCAAATGGGTAACTAATTATGATCAAATATACTAGTTAACCTTGTTAACAAGGCATTCCTTGTTATCGGTCCTTTTACTGGATATACCAACAGTTCCAACCCTAATACTTATGGCACAGAGGCTGCAGAAGTCACTTTGAAGGACAATATATTACAGAACTAGAACACCGAGACAGGAACTGGCAAGGCAAGGTGGCTCACGCCTGTAATCCCAGCACTTTGGGAGGCCGAGACAGGCAGATCACCTGAGGACAGGAGTTCAAGATCAGCCTGGGCAACATAGTGAAGCCCCGTCTATACAAAAATAGAAAAATTAGCTGGGCATAGTAGCACGTGCCTGTAATCCCAGCTACTCAGGGGGCTAAGGCAGGAGAATTGCTTGAGCCCAGGAGGCAGGGGCTGCAGTGAGCCGAGATTGCGCCACTGTACTCCAGCCTGGGCAACAGAGTGAGACTGCCTCTACAAAAAA